GTTTATGAAAGGATGTGTTAAAACTATTTCCATGCAGGAAATACCAGGTAGAGCTCAGTTATTTAAAAGAAATAAAATCTTTATTGATCCCAGAGGGAAATGAGGTAAATTCTGGTTTTTTAGTGGTGAGACGAGGAACGTGACGTTTTGTGTTTTTAGTCAAAGTTAAACACAAAACACTGAAGTTTATTGCATCTGACTGTTTGATTAAAACCAGCAGAAGTACATATCAGCCAATGTTTTAAACCAACATGCTCTGTTAGTGCTCAGGGTATGAGCTGAGGTGGATTCTCAGCTTCCACAACAAATTTGATCTGAAAATCTGTGAAATGCAGAGTTTTTGCCATCTTTGCCCTTCAGGGTTAATTATCTGTGGTGGCTGTTTTACAAGTTGACCCCAAAAGTTAAGCAGCTTTTTTCTGAGTTTGATTAAAATTTGTTCTGTAAATTCTGTTTTTTTTGCAAACCATCAAACATAAACTGGAGATGACTTTAATGATCACCCCTCACATAGTGGAACAACAGTATTTTTGAGCAGAGCGCTCTGCAGGGGTCGCCACAGAGACTGAACTCACACATGTTTTACACCACATCTACACCTATTATTATTATTATTATTATTACACCTCCTGACTCAAGCTGGGTTTGAGCAGTTGTTGTAACAGGATATAATTATCAGGTTTATAAATATTAGTACACAGTATCTGTGGTAAACCAGTAGATGTTACTTGCAAACCAGTGCATAATTAGCATATCTGTGGTTTTTGATTTGACTGCTGACTGATCAGATACAACTTTAAAATTAATTTAAATGTACCTGCTGCTGCTGTTACACCTGAATTTCCTCACTGTGGGACAATAAAGGCTGTTTCTATTCTACTCTATTCTGTTGTTAGTCTGGAGTGAAGGACCTGTTATTGGGCTGAACAGGATCAGGATGAGACACAACAGAGCTTCATTTTGTGACTAAATGACCTCTGATGTCGTTCTGCTCTGAGTTCACAATAAAAACAACAAATAGATTATTATTGTTCCAACATGACAGTTTTATTAGAGAAGAAGCTGAGTTAACAGTAAAACCTTCAGTACAGTTTGTTATTGACTTTAAAACATCGCCCACTTTAAACTTTTTCTGTTGCTACTGAACAAACACCACCTTACTATCAGTTTATTTAATAAAAACATTTAAAAATAATTTAAAATAAAAGTTACAAGTTCTCACTCAGTGTCTCTGTGGTGCAGATCTGATCTGATATCTCAGGTTCATTTTGTTTTTCAGACAGATGCTGATAAAACACAGAAATACAAACATCTGAGACAGTTTATTGTGGTTTACACAGTTTATTAAAATATCCCTAAAGCACAGTTGCCACAATAAATTTGTAATATTGTAGGGGTCACCTCGAGTGAAGAAACAGGAATTACTGCCTCAAAGCAGGTCTCGCACAGGCCTGAGANATTATTATAGAATAACTGTATTTCTAAAGGGAAATAATGTGACAAGGCTGCTCAGGGTGGCTCTTAACGTCACTGTACAAGAAAAATAAAACATATTAACAGAAAAAACAAATTAAAATAGTTAGGTTGGTTCATAAATCCTGCTGCTGACCTAAATGTTGCACATCATAGTGAACAAAAGAAAAACAAACATAACCATAATATTTTCAAAGATTATAAAAACTGAAAACTAAAGACAAATTTCAAAACATTAAACAAAAAAGGCAATAAAACTAAATGACATCTGCATGCAACTGCAAACACAAAGCCTTGGTATAATATTCAAAACATGGTTTTAATTTTCTTTTGCTCAAAACTATCTAATTTATTTTGTAGGTTAGTATTTGTGAACACTTGGAACAAATACACATGAAACTAAGTCTGACAAATTTGCTCATAAAAAAGTGGGTCAAGTGTTTCAATGCACTAAATGCAGCAGAATAGATGTTTTTAATTTTATTTAAATAATTTTATAATTTAAAACTAAATCTATGCAAAGAGAGTAAATCACTTGTCAACACTAATCCACATGATAAGTTTTTATTAGTTGCTTTCATTTCAAGTAACACATTTGACAATTTTAGAGAGACCAGAATCTTGTTAGTTACCAGTATAATTTAAATATATAAACAACTGAAACATAACTCACAACATAAAATAATACTTTATATGTGGAGGAGTGCACCTGTGTGCATCTTTTCTTTCCACAACTTTCATAACAACATAAAAAGAGCAGGTTTTTATTTGTCCAACACAGACTTCACATTTGATCTGTTGTTGGGTTTTTCTCAAAGTTTAAAGTTAAAATAAAGGATCGTTGTCAGACATCCAGGGCTGTGCTGCTGTTCTGAGGCGACCCTGTCCCCACAGGCAGGGCAGTTTGTGGTTGACTCTCATCACTGCAACACTGGTGCAGGAGTCCGGTCTGCGAATGATCTCACACCAGTCTGGATAATCCACCGGCTTCGAGCCGCTGCAGGAAAACAACAAGTACAAATAAGAGAGAATAATGAACACGTCACATGCAAACACACAGGGAGCACTTCTGTGTGTGTGTGTGTGTGTGTGTGTGTGTGTGTGTGTGTGTGTGTGTGTGTGTGTGTGTGTGCGTTTGCATATTAAAATAAACTCACAGGTCACAGCATCCGACTCCAAAAGGCTCCATGCAAACACACTGGTAGCAGTCGTTGGTCATCCAGCTCTCTCCAGTCCTGAACACCTGCCCCAGGTGTTCACAGCTCGCTGGACATGAAACAAACAAACAAACAAACAAACAAACAAACAAACAAACACACAAACAAACAAAAGGTACTCAGATTCTCTACATGGATGAAAGGACAGAAGTACATTTACATGGTAACATATGATCAATAGTTTTTTTTCACACTTCTATATTTGAAGACACTTTTAAATATCATCAGTGACAAAAACAAAAACAATTTTCTGATTAATCAGGGGTAAAAAAACTAAAGGTATCAATAATAACATTTTTCYTAGTAAAGATTCGTTGTTAATAATGGACACCAGTGGTTTCCAAACGTTTCAGTTTTTGACCCAGAAACCAGCAGCAGAGCCCTGAGCCTCCAGCTGCTGTCGGCTCAGAAACTGTTTTCACCTCAAATAAACAACAGCACATAACATTATTTATTAAACCATTTTTGTCCATTTTAAGTAATCTTATTCTTCCATAAAAACAAAGGGAACAAATGTTTGGTTGTCATTTTTTAGTTTAATATATTCAGAAAATATTTTCAGGACCCCTCTCTTGGTCCTGACCCCAACTTTGGTAACGACTGATTTACACGACTACATTTGAGTTGGGAAAATTACATTTGAAATTCTCTATCTGTATATTATGAGTTTTTTCTAACTTTTATTAGAAAGAAAGACTAACTTTGTTTTAGTTTCAGTTCCAGTTTCATTTCTTTATTCATTTCATTAAAACAAAACAAATAATTTTATACAAAATATACAATAAAAAGAAAAATGAGAAAAAATATATGTATATCAAAATCACAAATAAAATGAAATGAAAAGCAGCAGAGAGAAAAAAATCTAATATCTGCCCCTTTTTATGTGAATTTCAGCTCTTTCCATTAAAACATAAACAGAGWGAATGTTGCAGATGATCTCCAGGAGTCCACAGTCAACAGTTCAAACATGTCAAACATCATTCTTCAGGTAAATTAAGTCTTTTTCTCTTCGTGTGAATCAGATTTTCAGGTCAGATAAATAAATTCTTCCCAACTAAAGTGAAAACCTGAAATCTATATAATCTAAAGAAATCTAAGCTTTGGTCAAAGGTGGGAATAAATTAGCTTTTTCCCATTTTGTCCATTTTTTCCCAAAATTTTTAATTTTGTTATCTTGTTATATCGATGTTTTTTATATTTTTTATACATGTTGTTAATAAACTTGGACTAACTAACTCTAAGTGTAATTTATTCTGGGTTTTTTCATTCTTCTCAGCCTCTCCTGTATGAAGCTGCAATAAAGTGTAAATTTCCCCACTGTGGGATCAATAAAGTTTTATTTTATCTTATCTTTTGTTTAAACTGTATCTCATAGTGTTCTTGCTATCATACCATTACTGGATTTGGAAATAACTTTTTAAAAAAGTCTTAATTTGAATACTGATTATATTTTATTGGGATTTCCTTCTTCAAAATGTTTCATGTTCATATTTATATTGAGGATATTTATCTTGGTGGATATAAAATCTGTATAGTAAATATTAAAAACATGAAAACGTCTCAGTGCAGAAAAGCTGTTACCTTTAGTGTTGAAGAAGCATTCACCGTTGTTATAAACTGACAAACATGGCAGACCGGCTCTCAGCAGCAGCAGTGAAGCCATGAGCACTCCTGCTGTTTTTGTCATTTCTGCAGGGTTAAGAAAGAAATTTACTTAACTTTATATAAAAGAAACAAACAGAAAACATCCTGATCAGATGAAACAGTTACCTGCCACAGTTTTCTGACAACGCTCTGAAATCTGTTGTTTTCTTCTCTCCTCTTCTTGGTTTCAGTCACTCTTTAGCTGTTTTCATGTTTTCCATCCTCCTTCCTCCTCCTGAACTGATGCACTGTCCTCCTGACTTTAGATATTTATATCCCACCTCCACAAACACATGCCCCCCATCCAACAAACCCAGACACACGTCACACATGAGCATTATTTTCATCCCTCCCTCCTCCTTCACTTCTTCTCTTTCACATAACATTTGTCTCAATGCTGACATRTGACCTGCTGCTGTTACATCATCTAACCAACCCCTGACTTATTGTTCAGCTGAGATCTGTGCAAACACGAGTTAAAACATTAACCTTTGACCCCTTCACCTCTCTCTATAACATGTCATTAATTAAGAATTGTTTCAATAAAAACTWCATGGTCCAATGACATTCGAGTATGAGGCGCCAAGTGTGAAATAAAATGTTAAAAAATGCCACTGACATGTTAACATTATTTAGCTCATGCACTTCCTGAAAGTAAAATCCTAATTTTAAAAATCCCATTAACACTTTATTATCTAATCCATAGTTTGCTTTTTTTTTTTTTTTTTTACAAAATGTTAAATTTAAATGTTATGTTTAAATATTAAATCCTAAATCTAAATGTAAAAGTTAGATCTTAAAGTGCCTGTAGCTGTGTTTCCATTCATCATGAAAATACACAAGTTAGAATTTCTAAAATAAATTTGCTCAATGGAAACACGTCAATTTAGAAAAAAATTAAGTTTTTTGACAAAATGTTTTTGC